TTGTCAAGCAAGGTGTAAATGGACTTGGCTTCCAAAGCTCTGAAGAGCTCGCCTTACATCTGGCTACTTTCTTCGGCAACGATACAAGGCTGAGAGAGACGTTGAAGGAGGGCGCACTGAAGGAGAGCGAACATCGTTGGGATGAAGAGTGGGATGGTGTAGGCGGGAAGCTGTTCAAGCTCACATAACGGGAGAGCGCTCACGTGAGTGTAATAGATATATTGTAGGACATGAATAAAGTACGTTGAACGCTGACGGTCCGAAACCTTTCTAATACCCAAGCTCAAGTACTCCGCGCTTATAAATCCATCCAGAAACGTAGGCCACCAACAAAGCTGGTATGAATAAATTCAATCGAAAATCACACCAGAGTAGCCACCGTCCCCAGTCATGCATTCACGCGTCGCACCAATGAATAGTGTATCAGCGCTAGGATCGTTAGGAAGCAGCACTGTGATTTCTTCATCTTTACCGTCATCGCGTTGACGGACCAGTTCCAGGCTTGATGAAGAGCCGTCATCGCTCTCGGTTGTCCCTATGCCGCTTCCACAAGTATCCACTTCCGAAGCGGCGGTGCAATCAACTTCCGCCTCATCTTCACCCGCGATACCCATTCCTCCCCGCCAAATCTCAGCCAGCTCCCTATCCCTTTCATCAAGATCCGTAGCATCAAGCTCCTCAGCCAAGGACCGCGGCGACGGCATCAAACTGAAACGAACGACTGACGGTGTCAAAACTTCGGTCGAGCATTCCTCCCACCGACCAATTTCTTCTTGAAATTGAGTTGTCACCCGCTTGTATTGTGCACGAGGACTTCTCAACTGACACTCCGTTTTCTCGAATTCCTTCCAAAGCGCAGCTTGCTTGATTCTTTCGCCAGTACCGCCCCATAGCCTAATTGCTCCCTCTCCACACGTGTGATGTGGTACTTTTCTCTCGTACTCGATGACGAGACTGTCCATCTCTTGATCGCATGCCAACATCGCTTGGAATAAATACTCGTGTTCTAGATCTCCGTACATAACTTTGTGGTACTGGTATTGTCGTTGTATGTCTTCGTGCAGGGTTGTGGTTAGATCTTCGATCATCTTGAAATGTTGTAGCGTGCGGGTGTGCAGTGGCTGAGGAGGGTGTTGTTGTATCTCTCCCATTCTGTTTCGATGGTTGGTGAGACTGGATGGTTGGGAACGCGGTATATGGTGACAAAGTATGTGTTTTGTGTGTGTGTTGACGAGCGTGGCCACAATTGAGCTCTCTTCGTATTCAATTATAGAGACTCCGTATCTTGGAATTGGTGTGTCGGTGGAAATTTTGGTGAAGCAAGAGAAGACCTCAAAACTTTTGTATAGCAAGAAATTGCAAGAATATTCAACTTCGCTACCAAGTTGAAGCGACCATGTAACCATGCACACATTCTAAATTTTTGTTCCCTTTTTGACCAATGTGCCTTGAGCTGAAAGAAATCAGAACCATGATTTGGTTGTCCAGAGAGGTTCACATGGTACAGATGCACATTGGGCCAATGGAGCTGATATTGTTGGTAAGAAGGCTTACCCAACTCCTGGTATACCAAAATCATTGATGACCAAGCTGCGATTCATCATACGTGCGCTCTACCGTAGCGGTCGTAGTGAGGCTACCGACTAAAGATCACGATATTCACGCTCCGCATCTGCCTCGTAAACCCGACTACAGCCTTAATGCGTTCCAAGGTTCTTCAGCCTTACCTGTTGAGCACGTGGATGTGGATACGTAAGCCTGTATGCCTGTGACACACTAAGTAGCCCACTACATTGCAACAGCCATCGCAAAGCTCAGAAGCACGGCCACGAACATTGTTGCCGGAGACATCCAATAGAAGGTAGGACAAAGGCAGTTTTATCATGGGCAGATCTACGCATGCCATGCGAATACAAGAGATAGAAACCCGGAAGAAGTCATGAGAGGCGGTGAAGTGCATAAAGACGATGTGGATGAACGTTATCGTGGTGTTTCGTTGGTCTGCAGGGTCGGCCCTTCCTCTCCCGGCGTGTCCGCGCCACCCTAGACCCTGTTTTATCCCCTATCGCTATATTTGGGCGTGCGTACTCGCCAGCACACGCGCAATCAGCCAGAACGTCACTTCACATTTCTTTCTTCGACTCTCAATCCCATTTTAACAAACTTCTATCCCCTCTTTCAGCATCTATTGCGCGTTGATCAAACGATCCTTTCTGTTCGAAATATTGATCTACACACCGCGACTCTTGTGCGACTCTCCCGAACAATTAATCTCGGTTTCTCAACAACTTACGCGACATGCTACTCCGATAACCCGAAACCGATACGATCTACAGTCGCCCCATCTGGAACTGTTTGCTGCAACTGCGACTGAACCATGATGGATCGGATCGAAGAAAGATGGAAGGCTTTCGAGGAGAACCATCCTAAGATACGCACGCTTGTTGAGACAGTGAAGCCATACATTCCGCCGGTCAACTTCATTACGCTTCACTATGCCTACTTCATCAGTGTTACCCTGTTGGGTACACTCATCTTCTGGGGCGCGTCAAACCCATCCAAAAGCATTGGGTGGTGGGACAGCATGTTCATGTGCATGAGCGTAAGTAATTGCCTATGTACGAACTGCATGTGAGACAAACACTGACTTCGTACACCCATCTTTAGGCCATGACCGCGGCTGGACTCAACTCCGTGAACGTTAGTCAGCTCACCACTTTCCAGCAAGTGGAATTGGCCGTTTTGATGATGATGGGAAGCCAGGTACTGGTTAGCTACTTCACCGTTGCTTTCAGGAAACACATCTTCGAGAAGAGGTTCGAGGATATCGTGGAGGCAGAGAAAGAGAGGCGGAATGCGCGGAAGGGCGAGGTTGGGGCTGTGGTAGGAATGACGGGAGCTATGTTTGGGCTGCCGATTATGGGGTCATTTGGAGAGAACAAGAAGGGAAGTAAGCCGAAAGCAGAATCCAAGTTGGCCACGCCGCTGGAAACATGCGTTGAGGATATGCCACCCAGTACGCCAATCCAGGATGACCAAGCGCAAACCGGATTATCGCCCATATCACCTGGTGCAAGAGAAAGGACCTTGGCCCAGCATGTCGGTTTTCTGGATCCCATACGAGAACGCGTCTCCCACGAAAGACCCATGTCAGCAACGACAACAGGACATTCAATCTACAACGTGCAGAGTCATCAGAGCATGTCAAAACGTCGTCGTTCGCTGGCCGAAGAGTCTGGAGTAGGCGATAGCTTCAACGTGAAGACCTTCGTGAACGAGCAAAAGCGCAACATTGGCCGCAACGGGCAGTTCTTCAACCTATCGTCAGATCAGCGAGAGTACCTGGGTGGTGTCGAGTACCGCGCCCTGAAGTTCCTTTCCATGTTCGTGCCGGCATACTTCATACTCTGGCAGTTCTTCGGCGGAATCGCACTAGGGGCCTACATGTCTGTCTACGAAAGAGAAGCGTGCGCTGTGAATGCGCAGAATCCTTGGTGGGCTGGTATCTTTCTCGCTATTTCTGCGTACAGTAACGCCGGCTTTACGCTACTGGACGCAGGCTTTATACCCTTCCAGTCGTCATACTACGTCCTCGTCATCGTAACGATCTTGTCGCTCGCCGGACCAGCAGCCTTTCCTGTCTTTGTACGCTTCCTCATCTGGAGCATGTCTACACTTCTCGATCTCTTCTCCAAAGACAAAGAGTATGGCGTATGGAAAGAAGGCTTCGATTTCATCCTCAAGTTTCCACGACGTGTGTATACCAGTATGTTTCCTGCGCGAGACACCTGGTTGTTTATCGCAACCTTCGGCTCTTTTGTGACAGTAGACTGGATCTTGATTCTGATTCTCAGTATTGGGAACCCGACGCTGGAAGTCATACCACTTGGGCAGCGCATCTTCATCTCACTCTTCGAAGGTTTCTCGATTCCAACTGGAGGCTACGCTATCGTCTCGCCCTCGGGAATGTACTTTGACGTACAGGTCCTGTGGCTCGTTGTCTTCTACACCGCGGCGTACCCTCATATCATCACTATGCGCAAAACCAATGTGTACGAAGAACGCTCATTGGGCATATACGAGGGCGATGAGGCTGAGCCAGAACAACTCCACTCGGCGTCCAGCTCACTCTTCGATGTCGACGCCGCGATGCCTTCTTTGACCACCGCTGTATCACAGAACGAGAAGACGTCTCTTGCGCCTATCAAGTCTCTGGGTAAAGTCGGCCGTCGCGGCACTGCATTCGTAGGCCGTCAACTTCAGCACCGCATGACAGCCTTTCAGGGTGTCGGTGTCGCCAACGTGCCCGCAGCCCCTGCACCCTTAAAGCGAGCAGTGACTATGGACTTTAACCGAATGTCGATTCATTCCCTCAACTCGCACCCGCCAACTCGACCTCCTTCCCTCATCAGCCAGCAAGTTCGCGGCCAACTGTCGCACGATGTATGGTGGATAGCCTTTGCGCTCTTCCTCATCGCGATCATCGAAACACACCACTCTATCGAAGACCCGCGTACATACAGCGTGTTTACCATGTTATTCGAGATTGTGAGCGGATACACAACTATTGGAATCAGTATCGGGTTGCCGGATCAATCGTATAGTTTCAGTGGTGGCATGTACACAGGAAGCAAGATTGTTATGATCTTGGTTATGTTGAGGGGTAGGCACAGGGGTTTGCCTGTTGCGCTTGATCGCGCTGTCAGATTGCCAGGGAAGAAGTTGGCGGAGATGGAGGAGGAGGATGCGGAGATCAGAAGCATGTTTTCTCAGTGAGCGAATGCGATTTAGCGAATAGCGATTTCTTTGAGCCTGGTCAGTAGATTAGCAAAAGCAATGGATGCAACTCCGGAATCAGTCACATAGGCTGGACATTATGTCTGATATTAGATTTCATTGAATTCGTCAACCAACTAGCCCAGAGCAGCAGCAACATCCACCTGATAAATTACCTCCACACCACCCATAATCTCTACTAACAAGCTTTGCAACGACCATATCTACAAGGCAAGTCCAAGAGCCGCGAGCAAACCACCAAGTCCCAAAGCCGCAGAAGCCATGTTGGCGGGTGCAGCATTGCCAGGGCCATCGCCGGAACCAGCAGCACCCGTACCCGAAGGACTGTTACCAGTGCCAGAACCACCAGAACCGGAAGCACCCGTCGCTGAAGCGGTGTTAGACGGCATACCAGAAGGACGCGAAGCAGTCCCTGACATGCTTGTCATGGGACCGGGACCGCTGGAAGAAGCGTTCGAAGCGTTCGGAGCGGCAGACGTACCGGAAGCAGAAGCCGGGGGTGCTGTAGAAGCGGCGGATGGGTTGTAGGACGTTGTGGTGAAGGCGCATTCACGGACGATGTCGTTTACGTCTGTGTAAGTGTTAGTATGGAGATTGAGATGGGAGGAGTAGGTAAGGAGAGGAAATCAAGGCGTACCATTGTCCATCTCTCCTCCATTCTGCATGATGCATGCTGCGCAGAGGGGAACGGCAGTGTTTGCGTTTTGGCCGTTGCAGATGCATTGGCGCTCGGCCATGTCGTCGTCTGCAATGTGAAGTTAGTATATGGGTGTTCACTGGCTCGAACTAGACTCATTTATGAAGGAAAACTTACTGGTGCTGTTGTCACAGTCGCGTGTCAGCCTGGTGACTGAATCGCAAACTTGGCGGCACTGTTGGGGGACATCGTCGCGGTCAACGTCCTGAGCAAGACCGATGGCAGAAAGGGCAAAGACAATAGCGAGCTTCTGGAAATGCATTGTTGTGGAAGGCGTTGGTAGTAGTAATCTCAAGCGAGAGTCGTAGAGTGTTGTATTGTTGTTGAGTAGTGAAGACGGTGGTTTGCGTTGGTGATGCCCTTCATCGTGGGAAGTCTGAGGGAACTATATACCAGCGGAAACTGCTCGCGTGCCTACTTTCCCTTCTCAGACAGCCTTGCTTGCGCATCCAATCAAACGTTGCTGTTCCTAGCACAGACGCAGGCTTGACATCACACCGGGGGGATTACGTCTGACAGCAGACTCCGCCCTGCGCCCCAGCCAACATCGGGCCGTTGTCGGTTATCACGGGTGGAGGTTTGCCATGGGGTAGATGGGGATCAAGGCCTTGTCGCCAGACGTCCAAGCATGGAGTTAGATGGCGTGCCAAGCCTCCGTCGCTTCCTAGATGCTTGGCGGGTGAGGTTATTGGGCTGCTTGTCCAGGACGATCGTCTTGTGTCGCACTCAGCACTGCCTGCCGCGACGCGACAGCTCTGCGAACAGCACACACGCCTACGCGTAGCCAAGTCTTCAAGAAAAAGTTACAAGAAACGTCTAAAAAAAGCAGGATACACCACATGGCTTCGGTAATAGTGGGTCTTGGCAGCCATCAACGTGAGAATGCGGAGAACTTGTGGGTTGCGGTTGAGTGATCAATGCAATACTATTGCATGAGGTCACGGTGATGTGGATCGAGTCAGGCCCTCTCGTCGACTGAGGAAATCCTCCCCGCTTCACCTGCCTGCCGAAGCGTTGGGATCCTGATTTGATCAGGCTTTTACCAAGCTCTGCGGATGTTCCTGCCAAGTGAGAGCCAAGTGAATAATGCACATGTTCCATGCCCGCACCGCCATCGATTACGTGGTGGGCAGTCGCACGTCGTGTGAGGCTGAGAAAGCGGTATGACCTGGTTTCTATCTTTGTGGAAGCTTGCAGAGATGTCGCATGGGAATACAGTGGCCAGGGAATAGCGAGAAGACTGTATGTTATTACCGAAATATGACAATATAGATGGTATCTTGATGCGCCGCTATGCTACATGCTACGTGGAATGGACAGAAGTGTCAAACTTCATTTCAGAAGGTCAGTACAACGCCAAACTCCCATGATAATTGCCTTGAAGGGACAACTCCGAGCAAGTCCTGATGCTGTGCGCCGGTGCGACGCGCTATGCTGCAGAGAAAAGCTTTGCAGAAAGCTACGGGCTGTTGATCAACACCGGCGGTGGGTATGAATCGTGGCTGTGCGCATGGGAGTCATGCTGACTTACGAAGAAACTCGTTTCTTATGAGTTGCACCTAACACTCGGAGTCTACACCGAGAATGTACACGCTGCTGTGTTCGACATTCACACACCATGGAACACAGCAAGGTGTACATCTCCAAGGTGCGAGGGTACAAATCATAAAGACGAGCTTCTTCGTATGGGAGAGCCTTTGGCGACCACCTGTGTGGGAGACGAAAGCCGGATCTCGGAATTATCCGGAAAGCTCGGGGCGTCACGAAGCGATGTCGGGTGCTTTGCCGCTGGGCGTAATGGGCCGCGACCCTGACACGAAGCCCCGTGATCCTTTTCTAGGCGCTGACTGGACCGGCACGCGCATGGCATCCTCTGGTTTAAGTTCTCCAGTAAGCCACTGACCCATGTGAGTTTGCCATCTCCTGAGATCCTCCTCTTTCGTCGCTTCTCTTAGCCTTCTATGCCGTACCAGTCTCTCCGCGACCTGTTGAAGAACAATTTTAGGAGGCCGATATTCGGTCAAGCCTCCTGGACTGGCGATATTGTCTCTCTCAAGATATGCCGTTGTCGCTTCTTCCATGATTGAAAGTGTTTTGCCACCAGGAACTTCTTTTCTTTCGTTTGTTTGGGGGTTCGTCCAAGGTCCCTTCACCCAGTTGTCGAGTGGCAGGCCTTCAAGTCCTTTGTCAACATTCAGGCGCTTATACCAGCGATGCTCTCCTTTAGCTATTGTTCGCATCATTTTATGACGGTCCTCGCCCTCGGTGTATTTGATCAAGACGTTCTTGAAGACAGCCAACTTCTCGCTCCACTTCTGCAGCGCCTTGACTTTGCCCAAAGGACCAGGCCAAACTGCCGCGAATCCGTCGTTCGAGGTATCTGGTCGTCCTGTTCCGATAGAAAGCAACAGTCCTGGCTCTGTGTCGTCGCCCTTCAGCGAGGCGTGTTCACTATAGGCAGCGTAGGAGGGGTTGTTCTCGCGAATTCCTCCATCTTTGAAGCTCATTCGCTTTTTATTCTTGCCGCTGCCAATGTCGGCCGTGAGCATCTCGAAGTAGAAAGGGGCTGCTGAAGTGGCCCGTGTTACCTGCCATATCTTCAACTTGTCGGCACCGGCGTTGTAAGACGTGACCCAAGGCGGAGCGATATCGGGGTCGTATTGGTGGTTGTATGAACGGAGGAGGTAGGCTTCGTCGATTTGGCCGGAGTGGGTGGCAGTGAGGCAGATTGATTGACATATCCGCTCTGTTGGCTTGCCTCTGAATGAAGGCGCACCACCACTTGACCACGTAGTCGAGCTCTGCAAGGAGCCTACCCCTGACTCATTCAATGGCACTCTTGCTGGTGTATCCTCTTCCTCCAGAACCCATGGATGCCAGTCGTCTCCTGTGCATTTGTTGTGCTCCTTACAGTACTGCTTCACAATATCTCGCACGGCCTTCTCCAACGGCTCGTGGTGGTATTTGGTAGCAAGTGGCAGCACGCTCCTTTTATGCCCAAAAAGCTCATGCCCTACTCTACGGTATAGTTCCAGACACTGTGGTACGCTCATTCGTAACCTAGCCAGCATAACCGCTATGAGGCCGCCCGTACTCGTCCCGTACATGTAGTCGAAGTAATGACATGGCAGTAGCTCGTTTTCGTCGAATTCGCGTCGTTGGCAGCCTTCTACGGGGCCTTCATCTTCTTGTATCCGGCGTTCGCATACGGCGATTTCGTGCATGAGACGTTGTATGATCAGGAGGCTCGAATAGCCGCGAATGCCACCCCCATCTATCGACCATGTTAGTATCTGCTCAGAGTTCCAATAGATGCCACAGCTGCCCCCCACATTCGACTATACATCTTCAAGCACTCATAGCGTTGCGCGCATTCGTCGCGCTACACCTCCTGGACCCTTCCCCACATAGCGAACCAACTTGACGTACCTAGCGTGAGTATTAAATCCTCCCAGCAATTCTCTTTGGTAACGTTCATCTTCCAGGTTTCTCCAGTCTTGTCCTGCTGGGTTGCACTGGTACCCGTCGTCCTTATACTGAGCGGCCTCGAGGCCGGCTCGGGGGGTTGCAACATGACCTCGGGACGGCGCGCTTGCTGTGTTCACGATGACGCCAACCCAAGGAAAACCTAAACACCCTGGAGTCTACGTCGACGTTGGGTCACCTACTTTGCAAGTTTTCAGCTTGATGTAGTCTGCAGACCTGTTTAGCCTTTTTCTTGTATGAGGTGCGATGGCGGTTTGGGACCTACCTAGGTAGGCGTGGTAGGGTATGGAGCCTTGCACAAATCGCGCACTGATGATCAGGCTGTGGACGTAAGGATGTAACGGATCGACGCAGGATAGAGTGGATATACATAAGACTGCGGAGAGCCTCCTGACAGCTCTGGCGCGTTCCTGCCTGCCGCAAAGGGCGCGACGGTCTGCTGCAGGCTGGTGGATGGGTGGGTCCCGAGGTCGCGGGAGTGGCTGACTCTGCACCTAGACGAATTAGGAGACCGGATTCGCGACCGAGCCACTGCTAAGCCTTTGGGGTCCAATAGAGCGCTGGGGCTTGTTTCTGATGGCGTTGTAACCCTTGAGGTTTGTTATGACGGAGTGATCAGGGGAATGATAAGTTTGTGTGACGGTAAATAGAGCGATGAGATCCGCCGGTCCCCCCGCAATCCTACCCAGAGTTTGGGATCGCGACGACAACTAGAGTGTGACTTTGCTGGTATCCGAACAGTTTGCCATGCAGGCATGCAGTTTCGCGTTGTTGCCTATGCCGAGCTGGAATCTAGGGCGGTGTACGAGCAGGCGGAAATCATTGCTCCAAGCTGCAGTCCTCCTCGAGCAAACCAGAACCTCCAGGGGTATGAAACGGAGTCCAGAGTGATGCTCCCTTGTGATACTGGTGATGGGCGAACGACTTTGTCGGACGGTGTAGTAAGAGCGAAGAACGTCCGAAAGAGTCACCTGAATGGCGTTCTGGCGTCGCAGAGTTGCAGGTGATGCACATGTTGTGTGCTTGCTAGTGCACGCAAGGTTCGCCGTTGAGAAGAATTCCAAAGGCGATATGTCATATGTAGAACAGTAGAATGAGTCAAATGGTCGATTTGGACTTGAGTAGGTATTTGGTTGGGGATACCTGGTCTCGGCATGCTGGAAGGGTTCATTTTTTGGTTCGTAGCAGGCTCTGCCGTTGGCCGACCGAGTTTCTCCTCACGAGACAACGGTTTTCGTCTCATGTTGTGCGAGACGAAAGAAACGCCACATGACCGAGGGGTTAGAACGCCCGTACTTTGCTTGTGTATAGCTCTTGCCTCAGGAACGATTCACTGCTTCGCATCAGGCCAATCACGGCAGTCCACAGCACAGCCGCATCGTGAACCAATCAGCGAGTGATTCGGCCGAACCCGACATCATCTTAGCACAGCCACGGGGCGCGGCAGGTCCGTGTGCTACGCCCGCCCAACGCTCTCTTGCGACCCAGGCCATCACCCCACCGGCTCTTGCTCTGTATTTCCACTCACACGACTGACCACTGCCTTCGCCTATACAAGCACCTTCCACCAGCTTGTAGGACCGCAAACATTTCTCAAGCGAGACAAGCACCCACTCTCGACACCCAACCTTCACCGTCCTCCACCATCACCGCCCACGGCAGCCCTATCCTCGCCTATAGAGACGTCTCAGCCTCACCCTATCCGGAACCGAACCGAAGGAATGTTACAGGAAAGCATGACGTTCAAGTCGGAGTCGACGTCTGGCACCACGTCCA